TGTAAGGCCCGAGCAGCCACAGCAAAAGATGTAGCGAAGGCATGCGCACAGGTCGCTCTTGAAGCGCCGCCTCTTCCGTCAAGTACTTGAGCGTGTACTTGACAACCACTGCGATGACGAGTCGCACATTCATGGCTCAGATTGATCCAGGAGCTGCGGGCCAAAAACATGAAGCTGGTGAAGGACTTGGCCAGCCAGGACATTTTTCGATTTGGATGAGGGCATCGACGACAAAGTCGCCAACGGCACCCGGTAATTGTCTCATGATTTCAATTCGACAGTTCTTTCACGATCATTCCAAGAAAGGCTAGAAAGGCCAACAAAGGCTGAAAAGCCACTTCTTGCCATCATGCCGACAAAGAAGCCTGATGCGGAGCTGATTACGCCGATTACGCCGGTTACGCTGATTACGCCCATTACGCCGTTTACGCTGGCTGCGTTAATTACGCCGATTAGGCCGGTTACGTTTACGCTGTTTACGCTAGTTACGCTGGTTACGCTGGTTACCCTGGTTACGCCCATTACGCTGGTTACGCTGGCTACGCTGGTTACGCTGGTTACGCTGGTTGCGCTGATTACGCTGGTTACGCCAATTACGCTGGTTGCGCTGGCTACACTGGTTATTACGCTGGCTACACTGGTTACGCTGGTTAAACGCTGCTTACGCTGAGTACGCTGGCTACGCTGATTACGCTGGTTACGCTGGTTACGCCGACTACGCTGTTTATGCTGGTTACGCTGGTTACGCTGATTACGCTGAGTACGCTGGTTACGCTGAGTACGCTGGTTACGCTGGTTACGCTGGCTATGCTGGTTACGCTGATTACGCTGATTACGCTGGCTACGCTGGTTACGCTGATTACGGTTACGCTGGCTACGCTGGTTAGGCTGGTTACGCTGATTTCCCTGATTACGCTGGTTACGCTGCTTAGATTTGGTGAAACCTGCGCTTCAAATCCCACTACCGCGTCTGCTACGAAATCTGCACTTGAAGGTCCCCAAATTCTGGCGCCTGCCACGAAACCTGCGCTTCGCATCCCACAAAATACAGCGCCTGCTACGAAATCTGCACTTCAAGGTACCCAAATTGTTTGCCTGCCACGAAACCTGCGCTTCAACTCCCACAAAATTCGGCGCCTGCTACGAAAGCTGCGCTCCAAGGTCACCAAATAGCTGCGCCTGCCACGAAAGCTGCGCTTCAAGGTCCGCAAAGTGCTGCGTCTGCCACGAAACCTCTGCGGCAAGGTCCACAAAGTTCCGCGCCTGCGCGCCACGAAATCTGCACGTCAAAGCCTCCTTTGCAATCTTGTTGACGTCTTCCTTGATCACAGTGACCTGCCAAAAACATATGAAAAACAGCGAAAAACATGTGAAACGCGAAAGACAAACACACACGAAAACAGTGTATCTCGTCACACCTTTTTGTAAACAATCGTGGGCCCACCTCCACATGGACCGAGCAGCAGTTGAGGAACTCGATGACTTCACTCCTTGGCTGCAGGATTCTGAGGCCTGCCTTGATCGTCATGGCCTACCAAAAGCGTCGCCGTGTCTTGCGTAACATGAGCGATCCGCCCCATTGAAACGATTTCAAAGGAAGCTTCGAGCAGTCCAAACGGTGGGAAACATAGCGAAAAATGAAACAACATGATCCAAGAATGGTTTCTTGATGAATGATGAATCCACACACACACACAGCCGCCATGCCTCTGCGAGAACGAAATAGAGTTGAGACTTGGGGAGAGGCTAGAACAATTGGATTTCAATTTTTTGATTCTTCTTGATGATTTTTTAATGAAACGCGTTTATGAACAAACATCTTGCTTCTAATAAATATTGAGATTTTCATGATTTTTTGATGAGCAAATCTTTGATTTTCAAAGACTCAACAAGTGCAGACATTTGTCATTAGAAACTCATACAATTTTCAAATCGCAAAAAAGCATACATCCAAAACGTGATTTTTAAAGAACAGTTTATGATAATTTGATGAATATTTTGATGATTTTTCACCAAGCAGTTTCCGGTTAGGGGTTCTCAATTCTTTCCTAAGATGTGTTTGCCCTTTGTGTCACTGTTGGTGTCCGCCCTTTTCCGCTGGCCATCTTGCACAGCTGGTGTCCGCCCGGCGATGCAAGATTTCTATTCACTTGTCTCCGAGGTCTGTCCTTTTCCGCTGGCCATGCAGCATTTCGATTTCTTTTCATTTGTCTCCGAGGTCTGTCACTGGTGGTGTCCGTCCTTTTACGGAGCCTACGGTTGTGTGACTGATTTTCTGATTTGGTGAAAACCAAAAATTGTCAAAAATAATGAAAGAAATAACCAAAAAAACAAAAATTCATTAAAACTTTTTGGCTGCTTTCCCGACTTTTTGGCTGCCTTCCTGTTAATAACAAAATAAAGGCGGTAGGCCACCGCGTCTTCCACCAGCGACGGGGGCCATGGGAGAGACTTCTGATATGTTCTGATTGCCCTTTTCGCGTCTTCTACTGAAATCAAAAAAGTACGTAGTGCGGGATAGTTTGACAGGTCTCAAGCCGGCAAAGCCGGCGGCGCTAACGGCTTGTCTCCCTTTGTCTCCCTTCTTGTTGGTCACTGTGTCCGGCTTGTCTCCCTTTTGTCTCCCTTTGTCTCTGGTCTTGTCTCCCTTGTTTTTAATCACTGCGTCCCCCTCGTCTCCCTTCTGTTCCCTTCTTGTCTTCCTTCTTGTTGGTCATTGTGTCCATCTTGTGTCCCTTCTGTTTCCTTTTGTCTCCCTTCTTGTTGGTCATTGTGTCCGTCTTGTCTCCCTCCTGTTTCTTTTTGGTTCCCTTCTTGATTCTTGTTGGTCATTGTGTCCGTCTTGTCTCCCTTCTGTTTCCTTTTGTTTCCCTTCTTGTCTCCCAACATTGGTGATTGATCCACATCGCACAAGGTTTCGTGCCAGACTTCCCCCGATTTCTGACAGGGAGCCACATTACTGCATGATGCCAGAAAAGGTTGCGCGAGATGGCTCCTGCGCCTGAAGTACTAGCGTGGGTTGGCTTGAAGGGTTTAGGTTCGAATCAACACAGGGTTAAAAACGGTTGCGAATGCGCTTGATTTTTGGGTCGTTGGCACATTTCCAAACATAGCTCTGTGGTGTGTTCATTGGAGCTTATGGGTAGGGCTCTCAGTCATCAACTTTGACGGGAACGCCCGAACCCGCTGGCTCCAACGAGAATTCTTTTTGGGGTGCGGCGCTGGGCGAGTCTTCGGGGTTTGGGGGCTCCAGAACGAGCGAGTGGACGATGGCGGAAGATGGTGGATGGAGAGCCCCAAGGTCATGCAATAGCCGAGCGTGGAAAAGAACTCCGCCTGGAAAGTGGACTGGCAGTGCAGCCCCACCCTAACATCTGCGCAGGCCGAGAAGATCAAATACACCATCCTGTGTACATACACACATACGTATAGATATATATATATATATACATATCTATATAGATGTGTATACATACATATCTTATATAGAATATAGATCTCGATAAATATACATATACACATACCTAGAACCTGATGAACCCCTGTTTTGGAGCCAAAATATGGTCTTTTCCTATTAAAGCAGAGGTCAAATGGGTTCTAGGTATATATATATATATATATCTATCGCATTCGTTCAGATTTGCTCGTCGTGGCTCACAGCATTTGGACATTGCAACTATAGCGCCCCTTGACTAAAGGCTTGCGAATTCGGCGCCCGCCAAAAAGGTCCAGCTTAAGAGCTTGATCGTGTGTGGTTTAAAAAACCACACGGGAGGCCGAGATTTGCAGCCCCCTTCCACGCGCCCTAACCTGGCGCAGTGTTATGTTGTTGGCGCTGAGCAAGACTGTACAAGCATAGTTCGTACTAGACACGAAAAGAACTTCAGGCGACTCGATCCAGACGCCGCACCTGCTCGTTGACCGTTGCAAAAAATCAACAACATGCCGAGGGTTTACAGGAGCATTGGGCCTGACCTCCTTAAAAGGAGACAGATGAGCAAGTTCGTACCCTAACGTTTCGTCAGGAAGCAAAAGAAACCTCCCCTTGCGCTGCGAGCAGGGGCGAGATGCTCGGAGCAGCGTGAATCCGGAGGTGTGAGCCCAATTTCGGCACGTTCCGGCAGCCAAAGCAACAGGAAGGGCAGTCATCATCTCGTTTGACCCACAGGCATTGATAAGCCCCAGCGCCCAGTACTCACTAGGCAACCCGGAAATAGAACGCCTCGGCAAGGCAAGCCGCCCTCACCGCACCAGACCATGGTCACGAGGCTCTGACCACCTTAGGCCGACGCATCTGGCTTCGACGGCGTCTAAAACAACTTGAGCTATTTTGCAACTCTAGTGGAGTCCCCTGCCAACTCACTTTCAACCTACGAGGGTGACCTGAATCTCTCCAGCTGCAGCTCCTACTTGACTAGGTCCCTGTCCAAGGGCTCCTGCGCAGGGACGGTTGCTCAGCATCATGCGGCACCGGCCCCAGAGGCTCAGGCGGCGCTTGGAGCATTCCAAGCCCAACAGCCGTGAATATGGCAATCCCATCACCTGCCTCTGGTCCACCTGACAGAATGGCGGGCTCTCACGGTCCTCCGCGTGGCGCAGATGAAGAACCTTCGCGCGCAGAAGATGAGTGCTCTAGACAAGACAAGGATGCTCAGGGAGTC